CACGCAGGCCCACCGTGCCCAGGCGCCTCCGCTGGTCTCCGTGTGGACACTTAGTGGGTCAGGCGGCAGATCGCTCCCGCCAGGCCGGCCGGTTTGGCCTCGTAGTGCTTTGCTCCGCAGAACTTCTGGTTGCTTGTAATGGGGAAGGAGAGACTTGGGTGCTCAGAGAGCTTAGAATGGGCCGCCGGGGCCATAGAGAGTGTCACTGTCCGACCGAAGGTGACTCACCGGGTGTCACGCGGGAGACGCCTTTTCTACCAAACCTTTCCTCTGCCGTCCCTCCAGGCTGCTCCGGATCCTGGCCTCCGGGCAATCCAGCCTTAGAGTCTGGAGTCCTGGCCCACCCGTCCCTATCAGTGGAAAGTGCCCTGGCCTGGGAGTGGGTGGGGAAGCTGCTGGTGCCTTCGCCCCTCCCGAGCCCCATGGGCCCCTCCAGCTGGGAGTCTGGGGTCATTTTTGATAATACGGGACGTTTAGAAGCCAAACTACACATGAGATATGTATTCATTAGAGTAGAGAGCATCTATGGCTCTAGCTCTTGGTTGCTCTTACCCCAGGACATTTGCACAGACTGGTCTTTGGGTCTGACATACCCTCACTAAGCCCAAGGCCCCCAGCATAGTTAACTCTTCTTAACCAGTCTGACTTCCTCGCAGTCTCTTGCTGCAGTTTCTTCCCCAAATAACCCTCCTGACTCAGCCCTGTACTCCCTCCTGCTGACCCCTGGTGCTGCACTTGTCACAGAGCATGTTGTCTTTTCACCCTATCCGATATGAATATAAGTTTACTGAGAGACGGGGCCCATAATACAGCAAGTTCAAAGCAACTGCTTACAACTGAACAAAAATGTTTTCAGATACACAGAGTAAAAAATGCAGAGCATGTAAGGGTCCCAGGGGAAAACTCCATGTCATTCCTACCCCTGACCTCCAAGGCCTGGTTCCCCGTCCCCTGGGGCAGAGATAAACCAGTTTCTTATGCATCAACAGAGAAAGTCTATGCACATACATCTAATTCGTTTGTACAAAACATCACTCACCATGTGATCCCACTTGGAGAGTGCTTTTATGAACTCATTCGTTTTAATGGCTGTATCATATTTTATTAGTACTGTGTATTTATCCTATTTCCTGTTGGTTGAAATTTAGGTTCTTTCCAGTCTTATAACAAGCAATGCTAGGTTGACTATACTTATAGCCAAGTAGGAATATTTCTGTCGGCTGAATTCCTTGGTGCAGAAGTGCTAGGTCAAAAGGCTTTGTGCAGATCTCTAACTGGGTACATAATCTCTTAACCAGTCATACCAAATTGTCCCCCTCCTAACAAAGGAAGGGGCTAGTGTCCCCATTGCTTGATCTTGAAGAACTGGTAGGCATAAAATAGTTTCATTGTAGCTTTACTTGTTTCCTAGGAAGTACAATGGATCTCAGTGCTTTTGTCAGATTTATTTTTTATGTTGATAATTTCTACCATTTTGAAACTGGAAAGACCTATATTTATTATAAATGTGCTTATATTTAAAAGCTGTTTGTATTACATATTCTTTGCCCATTTTTCTATTGAGTTGTTGGTGTTACTCTTTTCTAGGCACTTTCAATATTAAAGCAATTAGCCCATTGTCTGTTAAAGTGTTTTTCCCATTCTGTCGTTGTCTTTGACTTGGATTGTGTCTTTTTGTTTGTCTTTCATATTTATTTATTTATTTATGCCAGGCACTTAAAGTTATTAGTTATTATTAGTGTTTTTCATATGTGGCTCCTGCATTTTGTGTCACACTCAGAAACAGTTTCTCTAGTCCAAGATAATATAACATTTGATATTTTCTTCTGGAAATGTAATGGTTTCTTTTTAAAATAATTTAAATTTTGGTCTAATTCTAGAAACTACTCTTCAGAAAGAGTGAGGTAGGAACACAAACTGCTTTTTCTAAATCATTTGCCCCAACTACCTGTCCTGGAAAAGCCGTCTTTCCCCACTGAAGTGCCATCTTTATGGTGTGCTGAGCCCCGGCCTGCGTGTGGGTAGTTCTAGGCTGTCATCCCAGTTAGCCTGAGCCCCACTGTCTTGATCACGGAGGTCTGGAAGCCCATCTCCTCTGCAGGTTCTTTTTTCTTGTCAACCTTAGATGGGCTTATCCACTTCCCTCACCCTCAGTTTTTATTTTTGCAGGAAGTGGCATTGCTTAGATTTATAGATTTAGTTGAGAGAAAATTGTCATCTTATAATAAACAGGTGATCCCTTGCACGTAAATCATGCAATGCTAGTTCCACAAGACACACTCCATGATAGAAAGGATTCTGAAAATTTAAGTATGTGTCCTCCTCCCCACCCCCACAGCACACGATGTTGACCTTGACGAGGCAGTCTGCTGAGACTGCTCTCTCCACACCAGATGCCTGTGAGGGGCTCACCCTGGGCCTTTCTCCAGACTTGGGGTTACCATGTAGTGGCAGTGATAAGGGGAAGCCTGTGGTACATTCCAGAATGCGCCCCCTTTCCTCTCATTTGCTATGGCCCATGGGCCTGGCTGCCCGGAAGAAGGGCCAACTTTTCTGTTCTCCATTTTGTAAGTTTTCCGGACATGCGCTCACACCTGGCAGTGGCGTTCTGTTGCTCAGTGGGACCCTGAGCACAAACCCCCCTCTCCAGGAAGGCAGTGCATGACTGTGGGGCCCAGATCTGAGATGAGGCCTCTAGTGGGGGCCCCACGCACCCTAGTCTAAAGGCATGGGCAGCTCCCTTCCCGCCGGGGCAGTGCTTAGGGTTCATGGTTAGGGTGCAGGACCAACTATTGGCTGTGGGATTCATCCGACCAGAATGCTGGCCCAGCATCAGAGTCCCTCTTCCTTACATTTCACAGCTGCTGCCATGTGCCAAGTTGATCTTTATGAAAATCCTGAGCTGCTGGGTTCACCATCCCTACTGCTTCCACTTATAGGGGAGACAGCTCAGGCAAAGCTGCCCCCAGGGCCAAGCCCTGGGAACCTGCCTGGGTGGCACTAGCCTCGATTCCTGTGATGCTTATAGTTTTGGGCCACTTCATGCCTTTGCTGGACAGTGAACTCTGAGCCATCAGACCCCAGTGCCTGGCACTGGCAGGGCACAGACCACACTCATGTGTGTGTGTGTGTGTGTGTGTGTGTGTGTGTGTGTGTGTGTGTGTAGCATGTGCAGGTGACACTCGGAGGGGGTTGGGGCTGGCCGAGGCCATTTTTTTGAAGCCCAGCATGCCTAGCAGAGCTCCCCCTGACTCATGTTGGAGGAGGAGGGCATCCTGAAGATGGCTTTTTTCCTTCAGCAGATCAGGTGGGGACTAGAAGTGCATGGGCCTGTGAGAGGTGGCCCGGAGGCCAGGGCCATGGGTAGCCTTGAGAGCCAGACAGTTGGAAACCTGCGTTGTGCCTCTGTGAGCCTCTACTTTCAGGGGTCCTGGGCCAGCCCAAGGAGTGAGGATGAGCAAGAGCTCTGGGGAGGGAATCCCCGTGTGAAAGGAAGTAAGTGAACACCAGGTTAGAGCCAGATTCTGTCCCTCCAACTTCCTGGAGAGAGAATGGGGCCCCTGGGTCTGTCCCCCGTGGCTCTGCGCAGGGGCTAGTGCATTCTGTGTGGCATGCCAGTGGTAGGGCAGTCATATGCCCACTATCTGGCTAGGCCTGGCTGGGGCTTGCTTCGTCCTGGCCACGTCCATTGTCCTACCCTGAGCTCTTGGCTGTGAGGGATCCCTGGACCGTGGTAAGTAGTCTCACACATGTTGGAAATAAACACGGATGCCTTCAGAGAGTGGGAAGCGTGCATTAATCTCTAAAATGCTCTATCACAAAAGGCTGACTTGCTGCTGGAACATCGGCTTGACTAGGAGGGGTGGCAGATATATATAAACTCTGGTGACTCTTTGAAATGGGTAGCATCTAAAGAAACCAATTTTTTTGTTTTGTCTTGTTAATCCTCACCTGAGGATATTTTTTCCATTGATTTTTTTACAGTGGAAGGGAAGAATGGGGAAAGAGAGAGAAACATTGATTGTTTGTCTCTGCATGCACCCTGATAGGGTCAGGGATCTAGCCTGCAACCCTGGTGCATGCCCTGGACTGGGAATCGAACCTGTGACCCTTCTGTGTGCGGGTCGACGCTCTAACCACTTATTACACTGGCCAGGCCTTTTTGATATATTTTTATTTTTTTCAAATATCTTTTTATTGATTTCAGAAAGAAAGGGACAAGAAGAGAGAAACATCAATGATGAGAGAGAATCACTGATTGGCTGCCTCCTGCACACCCCTTACTGGGGGTTGAGCCCACAACCCAGGCATGTGCCCTTGAACCTGGGACCCTTTAGTCCGCAGGCCAACGCTCTATCCACTGAGACAAACCAGCTAGGGCTTAATATATTTTTATTGACTTTTAGAGAGGGAGGGAGAGAGAGAAACAACGATCGGCTGCCTCCTGCAGCACCCTGACTGGGGATCGAACACACAGCCTGGGTATGTGCCCTAACCAGGAATGGAACTGGTGACCTTTCAGTGCACAGGACGGTGCTCAGCCAACTGAGCCTTATGGGCCAGGACTAGGGCAGTATTTTTATCAGAGTAGTGAACAGGACAAACACTGAGTGGTTAGGGTCATATCTGACAACACCCAACGCCAGGCAGGTGGCTGAATAGGGCATGTGCTATCTGACGTGCTCCTCTGAGGAGCTGGTCCACTGCCTCCTAAACCTCTGTATCCCATCTTGCTCCTCCCAGGTCCCTGCAGGCCCCTCCACAGGTAATCACTGGGCAGGCTACCGGTGAAAACACAGATCACAGCATGAACGGGCCTCCTCGGGAGCTGGAGCTGGCTCCTCCTTCCTGACCCTGTGTCCTGTGTCCTGGTTCTCTCAAGGCACTTTCTCCATAATTTAATAACCAGTGTTGAGGTGGTGTCTCTTTTTTCCAATTACAAATAGTGCAGCTACACATATTTGCTTCTTTGTAAAAAAAATATTTTTTTATTGATTTGAGAGAGAATCATTGATCGGCTGCTTCTTGCATGCCCCACACTGGGGATTGAGCCTGCAACCTGGACATATTCCCTGACTGGGAATCAAACCATGACCTCCTGGTTCATAGGTTGACACTCAACCATTGAGCCACACTGGTTCGGCCATACTTGCTTCTTTATGAATATTTTTTGGTACCTTTTTTGGAGTGGAATTGCTGGGTCAAAGGGCACAAAATTGGCAGTTTTGGTAAGCTGTATACAGAGCAATGAAACCATGTGTAGTTCCTCTGATGTAAGCTGCTACTATCCATGTGGTCATTGTTATTAAATTACTCCCATGTTCCCTCTCCACGTTTGTTTTGATGTTTTCATCTTGGAATCATGTGGGTTTACAGAAAAGTTGCAAAGACAGTTTAGAGAGTTCCCATCTACATTTCACCCAATGCCCCTCATGTTAACATTGTGTTAAAGCCAATAAATGGGCTTGTGTGCATTCCCATCAACTACATGCCAGTCTCATATTTTCCACTGACGTCCTGTCTGTCCCAAGATCCAACCCAGATCCCCACATCACATCTCCTCAGTTTCTTACAATCCAGGGCACTTCAAGTCTTTCTTTTTTTTTCATGACCTTGACAGTTTGGGGGCATTTTATGAAATGTCCCCTAATTTGGCCTTCTGTTTTCTCATGAATAGACTCGGGCAGTGGTTTTTTGGGAAGAGCATACCAATGTGAGGTGCCCTCGGGTCACATCCCATCAGGAGTTCCCAACACACACAGGACATCAACCTGAGGTGGACCTTGACCACCTGGCTGAGGTGGGTCCAGCAGGGTGTTACCACTGCAGGTTGTTGTCCTCCCCCTTTCCTCCCCTCTTCTTAGGAAGTGAGTCCCTGAGTCCAGTCCACACTAAAGGGGGGATTTATTTTAAAAATCGTTTTTCATATAGAAAAGTATAAAAAACAAAGGACAGGTGGCCCATAATTGCACTGCCTAGATACCTGTTGACATTTAAAGAAAATAAAAGTAAAAAATACACATGGGTAAAAGTTGTACAGAAAGTACTATTAAAACAAAAAATTAAGGCTTCACTATCTTAAAAGAAGATATTGGCTATTCCAGTATGCCTATACGTACACACACACATACATACCCTGGAGCCTTGATTTTGACCTGACCTATCTGTGTACCTTTCCTATGGGCACATGTGCTCCAGGGTGCACCCTACTTTATGTAGCCTTCCCCTCACCTGCACCTGCGTGCCCTCCACCTCCACATCTGGCTGCATCTGCCCCATCCCTGAGCCCCTTGGTGCTCTCAGTGAAGGGCAAAGATGGTCTCCGGTTTAGTTGAGGAAACAGGTCTGGAGAAAGGAGGGACTAACACCAGGGGGGTGCTCATCTGGACTAAGCTCAGGCCATCTCCCTTTGTGTATTCCCCAAACTCTCACTACCACTTAGCTCTGTGCACTGGAAGGCTGCTGCTCAGCCCTCTTGCAACCTTGATTTCTGCATGACAACTGAAGGGTTGTAGTAAGAACAGAGTGACCAGGTACAAGGCTGAGCTGAGCATGGGGTCAGAGAGGGGGGTTGGGGGGTCATAGGGGTTTGAGGGCTATATATGTGCTGGTGGCCCGGGTGTAAAGAGAAATTCCACAAGTGGAGCAGGGGTCTCCTGCCTGCAGAGCAGCTGTCGTGGCCCATAGATGGAGGCCCCAGCCCTTCATTATCCCTGGGAGTGGTGCACATCTGAGGACCTGAGAGAATGACTTGTCCGGACCACTCAGTCTGCTGGGCACAGCTGTATGGCAGTCCTGACCCCTGCCTTGCCACAGCTTACCCCCTTCCCCCTGTAGGAAGAGGGCACCTCTTCAGCCACTGCCTTGTATTCCTGCCACACCAGCCTGAGGTTCTCACACTTCAGGCCCCAGGTGGATCTGCCTCTGGGACACTACCCCTACTTCCTCCACTTGTCAGGCCTGTGCCTGCTCACCCATGCCATTGTCAGACTTCCAGTTGCCGTGCCCTAGACTGAGCCCCTGGAGGTCAGCCTTTGTGGGGCTTCTGGTCCAATAAACATGGGCAGAAGGAACGAAAGGTCCCAGCCTCTTTCTCACCCTGCTATTTGCCTGGTGGGGAGATCCTGCCAGGGGCTGCCTGCCTCTTCTGGACTTGGAGAAATTGAGTTGTGGGGACTGAGCAGCACCTGCGGGTGGGACTGCTGAGATGGGGGCCTTGGGGGCCTGCCCAGGTGACCCACCTAGATCTTCAAAGGTACAAGGGGCCCCGGTCGGCAGGAATGTTGACCGCCAGCGCCCAATGAATGCCACCTGGATAATGGCTGTCCAGAGTGGGCCTCGGAACCCCAGGCCTGGGAGAGTGGGCTTGTCTGTCAAAGGGAGCCCACTGGGCTGCATTTCGCCTCTGCATCCTGAAGTCAACTCTCCATTCCCCTCTTTTCCCTCCGGGCCGCCACAACTTAGTACCAAGGGGCGGGAGCCCAGGGGACAGTGGCTAGCCTGGGGGCAGAGGAGCTCAGCGGTATCAGGTCAGTTAGGAGTTGCGGGTGGAGAGGGTAAGGATAGAGTTCCGGGATGGGGCCAGGGTCACGGCCCCTGTCCACACGCAGGTCGTCAAGCTAGCATTGGGGACTGTAACCTGGCAGGGAGGCCGTGCAGGCCCCCTGGAGGCCGCTCAGGCCACTGCAACGCCGCTACCGCTGGCATAGGAAGGGGCGGGGGCGTGGTCGCCCACTGGCCTGCACCCACCACTTTGGGGCTGCGGGCCCCGGCCATTTGCGTCCCCAGCTATTAAACTTGGCCTGGACACCATCGGGAGCTTAGAGAGACCACACTTTCATCGTTTAAGCTACAAGGATCCCTGCCCAGCGCCGGGGAGCGGTGTCCGCGACCCGCGTGTCTCGGCAGGGCCGGACGCTCTGCCTCGCCAAGGCGCCCCGAGCCCAGCTTTTGCGATTCTAGTAGGTTCCTTTTCCCAACCCCTTTCCTCTCGCCCTCCCGAACGCACACCAATCCTCAGCCCTAATGAGGCGAGCAGAGTGATTCCCGAATGGGGCGCAAAAAGAGGAACGAACACAGGTTCGTTCGACCCGGGGGGTGGGGCGGCCCACTCCTCCGGTACCTAGGCCAGGGAGGCCCGGGGGGCCTCAGGGTGCAGCTTGGGGACTACCACCATAAAGCACTATATAATTAATCAATAAATGTTTTTTAAATAAAGGTCCTCACACTAAAAATATATCCTCTTTAGCGGGCAAAGGAAAAAAAAGAGAATTTCTGAATTCTTGTAGAAAAGTCTGGGTTTGTTATGCTAAGGGGGAATGTTAATCACATATTAAAGCTAAAGTTCAACAAGTCACAAATTCATTCAAACGAACTCTTTTAAAACAAAATTGAATTAAGTTTGTATTTATACTGTTCATGTTGCAAAATAAAATCTAAGCCTTACCTTAACACAACCTTCCAATGAACTGATTTTAAAGACTGCTTGAAAAGGTTTTCTGTCAATAGGACATGAAGCCTGTGTCTGAAAAATGATTAACAATTTATAACTTCAGAAATGTTTCTTTAGAATAAAAATTAATATATAACAAACACATTTGAACAGGAAACACAAATTTTTTTTTCTTCTTTCAAAGGTGAAGATGAAATACTTTCTGCCAGTACCATGCCACAGAGTAATAAATACCTTAAATTTGTTGAATTCATTCAAATACTTATTGAGCATCTACTGTATGCTAGGTAAGTGGAATACAATGATGAAGAGAAATAAGATCTCTGTATACCTAGGAAGACCTGCTTGTCCAGTTGATAACTACTGGGCTGAAATCAACAGCTCTATGATCGAAAGTTCTTGGGCAACTCGAAATCAGCTGTAAAAGGAATGGCAGATACAGGTCCCTTACAGATTTTAGTATTCTATGACAATATTGTCTCTAAAAATGAATTATTCTGAATAGGTAGTTAAGCCAGCAATAAAAACTTTTTAAAAATATGAAGAAAATGAAGGATTCCTCTACTCCGAGCAGCCACCTAGATGCTCTCTCCAGAAGTAGTTTCCTACATATCCTTTTGGAGATAACCAATGCATATACATACGTATGTATCTTTTTAATATAAAATATATCTAATTAATTCATATGCAGATTGAATTTTATTTTTCTTAATTATATACTTTAGATTAGTTCATATTACTATTTCAAAGCTGCCTCATTCTTAACAGCATAGTATGCCACAACAGTTTTAATTTTATATTTCCTTTTATGAGTTAGATTGAGCATATTTTCATATTTTTAAGAGCTATTCAAATTGCTTTTTAAAAAACTATTCATGCCTTTTGCTTAGCTTTTTTATTAGGTTGCTTGTCTTTTTCAAATGGAATTGCAGGCATTCTTTATAGAATAAGAAAAATTTTCCTTTAATCACTCTGATTCTAAGTCAACTTTATTTTGATGTAAATATATTTCCTATACCTTAAAAATTAATGTACATCAGCTATAATTAAGAGTTTCTTTGATAATATTATTAAATATTTATATAGGAATGGGTTTATATTATCTAAACAATTTAAGATGGAGTTGTCTACTAGAGTAGAAGGGTAAAAACTCAGTAGTCTATTAAGAAAATACTAAAAGGTGATATTATAAATACCTATGATTTATTAATAACTTAAAAAATGCCCTAGCCGGTTTGGCTCAGTGGATAGAGCGTCGGCCTGCAGACAGAATGGCCATAGGTTCGATTCCGGTCAAGGGCACATGCTCAGGTTGTGGGCTCGATCCCCAGTAGGGGGCATGCAGGAGGAAGCCAGTCAATGATTCTCTCTCATCATTGATGTTTCTATCTCTCTCTCCCTCTTCCTTCCTCTCTGAAATCAATAAATACATATCTTTTTTTAAAAAACTTAAAAAATATTTCAAAAAGTAAAACGATTTCAACAATTTAATAAGACCACAGATAGTAATGGAATTTTGATAAATTATCTTATATTCCCCAGTGGAAAAAAATGTGATTTTTACCATTCTGGACTGCAGCACACATCAAGATATGCTTGTACAAGTACACATAGGCCAGACTATGTGCAGCCCTTGATTATATAATACATTTTCACAAAGCTCGAGACTCACTTTGGGAGCAACCAAAATATAAATTGTGTTACTTTTATTACTCTGTTAAAATTAAGTAAGTAGGCCTTTATAAAATGCTTTACCACATTCTGAATTAGGAAATGTGACTTTACTATATTAAATTGGTTCAGAGAACCCGGAAGGTGCACAGGGTTGTGCAGTAGTTTCCCGGGACACTGTCACCTCTCTCAGCCCAGTGGGTGGTGGGGCAACTAGGGGAGCCTGGAGTCAAGGGGCGCTGGCCACCCTTTTATTTTGTCACCCTCTCCCCTTATCCTGCTGTGGCCCCCTCTCCTCCCCATAGATTCCCACCCTCCACCATGAGAATGCCCACCAAGCTGTGAGTTTGGGCTGGGCAGGGATGGTGGGCCTCGGCTCAGTGGACAGGTTCCCATTGTTGCAACACGTGGACAGGGTGCAGGAAAGCAGGTTCCCAGTCGTGTGGCAGACACGCACAGCAGGCTGCCCCAGGCCAGTGGCCAGATCTCAAATGCCACATGCGTGCTGGCAGCCCCCCTCCCCATTCCGCACTCTTCCCACCGCTCCTTCAGGTCCTGTCCCTTGTTCTCAGGGGATGGAGGCTCTGCCCACCTGTGAGCACAGCCAGGACAGGACTTGGGTGGGGTCTAAATTCTCTTAAAAGGAGCGACCATCTTTCTCTGTGTAGTCGCTGCATATTATTTGCTTTTAAAGATAGTGGTATCCTCATGTTTGTGGGAGGGACATTTAGGGGGTCCGTGAAGATGGGGACGTGCCTCTCTGGGCAGTGGGTCGGTACCTAAGAGTTCAGTGGCTCAACAGCGTGGGGTGGGGGCGGCTGACGTGGGAGATAGGACAGAAGGGACAGAGGGATCCCATCTCTCACTTATCACTGTGCCCTTCCACCTGTCCCACCTCTGGCCTGAGGCATTTGTTCTCTGAGAACCTTTTGGGGACCCCCAGTGCCCTGACTTGGTTTGATTTTGCCCCCTGGATTCTGTCAGACTTTCTGGATGGAGTGAAGGGGGTGGCCGGGCTCCCAAGGGACACTTCTCCAGGGTGTCTCTGGACCCTTTAGAACCTCTGTAGGTCCCCAGGCAATGGTGACCATCTGCCTGAGTCGAGGTGGGGGGAGGGACTCCTTGCTGGGGCCAGTACTTCAGTATTGCTATCCCTGTTTTTAATGAGAAACTGAGGCCAAAGAGGCTGAGTTGGGGTGTGGCAAGGGTGAGTGCAGATGGTGGGGAGGACAGAGTGCCCTCCGTGCTGGGTCCTGCGCCCTGTGGGAGCTGTGGCTCTGGATGCCCTGTCTTGGAGCTGTATTTATAACAGCAGTGCAAGGACCTAGTGGGGCGCAGCTCCTGGACCCATTTGGCTGGTACCCCTTGGTTCCGTTTCTCAAGGATTTTGGGCACTCGTGTGCTTAATGATTGCACGTTCAGTGTCTCCTTGACTCCCAGGATCACCAAGCCCTGCTGGAGCCTGTGTGAAGGCCTTTTGGTTTTTCTGGCCCCCAGTGGACGGGGCAGCTGCTGTTAAGCTTGCTTGGGGGGTGGGGAATCCATGCTCATCCTGGGTGTCCCGAGGCTAGGAACAGGGAATAATTAGAGCTAGCTGTCTGCTGGGCCGTCCTCCCAAGGGCCCTGGGGAGAGAGTCCTGCCCCTACCCAGCTAGACTGAGGTCTGTTCTCTCTGTGAAGGCAATGCCAATCCTGATCTAGCCTTACTGTACAGATGAGCAGACGGGCACTGGGGTGAGTGTGGTGCCCCCATCATCCCTGTTTCATTTGGTGCATGGGGGCGGTGAAGAGGCCAGGAGGGGCGCTGGGATCTTTTCACAGGGCTACCCAACTGCACAGGGAGCCGAGAGGGCTGTCCTGCGGTCTCCTGTGCCCTGCCTGCAGCCCCTGGCCCAGCACAGAGCTCTTCTGCGTGGGGCGGGCAAGGACTTTGGAAGCTGCGGGAAATGTTGACTGCGGTTGCTGTGGATACAAGAGTGAGAGCAGGGAGATGGGGCGGGGGCGGGAGGAGAGGCTGGCTGTCTATGCTCTCCCAGCCTCCCTCATCTCCGAGGGCTCCCCTGCCTGCGCCCCCAGTGCCCAGCAGGCAGGCAGCCATTGGCGTGGGATCGGGGCTCCCAGGCAGCCCCCTCTTCCAGTGGCTGCTTTCTTTTTATTTTCTGTGGCGTTTGGGTCTGGGTGGTGTGCACTGTGGTTGGAGCACCCAGCTCTGAGTTCTCGTTCTTCCCCTGCCTCAGTTTCCTTAGCTGTAGAGAGGGAGGAGGAGTCGAGTCCCGGTCTGCGGGGCAGCGTTGTGGATTCTCCTCCGAGGAAGGCGCCGCTCCTGGCACGGGGCCAGGATGGGGCGGGGGCGGGTGTTTTAATTAGGCGGAGACGGGTTTGAGAGTGAGGGCTGGGACCTTAGTCTGGGGAGGAGAGAGATAGGAGAGGAGGACTCCCTGGAGGAATCAGGTCCTCCTCGTGTTTCTAGCGTGTTGTTGCCCCCACTTGCTGCAGAACCCGGAAGGTGCACAGGGTTGTGCAGTAGTTTCCCGGGACACTGTCACCTCTCTCAGCCCAGTGGGTGGTGGGGCAACTAGGGGAGCCTGGAGTCAAGGGGCGCTGGCCACCCTTTTATTTTGTCACCCTCTCCCCTTATCCTGCTGTGGCCCCCTCTCCTCCCCATAGATTCCCACCCTCCACCATGAGAATGCCCACCAAGCTGTGAGTTTGGGCTGGGCAGGGATGGTGGGCCTCGGCTCAGTGGACAGGTTCCCATTGTTGCAACACGTGGACAGGGTGCAGGAAAGCAGGTTCCCAGTCGTGTGGCAGACACGCACAGCAGGCTGCCCCAGGCCAGTGGCCAGATCTCAAATGCCACATGCGTGCTGGCAGCCCCCCTCCCCATTCCGCACTCTTCCCACCGCTCCTTCAGGTCCTGTCCCTTGTTCTCAGGGGATGGAGGCTCTGCCCACCT